TCTCCTCATTTTTTCTATCAAAAAATTGTCGTTCGCAACCAAATCTCCTTAAATATTAGGGAAATTAGGATCTCCTCAAATCTCATTAAAATCCTTACTTTTAGCCTCAGTTTTAATAGTGGGAACACAGAGAAAAATAAAGAACAAAGAAAAATTAAATAAACCGGTGCTAAATGAAAGCATATATAATATAGGTTTTTCCTTTATAAGGTTTATTCCATATCAAAAATGGGTTTGTTGATGCCATCTCAGATTTGCTTCAAATTTTGATGATCTGCAGATTTCATGTAAAAAGCACAAAGATTTTTTTTGTTTTTTAACAGTTTATAACTTTGTAAATAAAAAGAGCAATAGCCTAAAATTATGAGTTTTTCATTTTTTTCAAAGTAACATGTGATTATTGGAATTTTTTAAAATTAAAAATGTAAGATTAGCTCTGATATGAAACAGCAAAGTTTAATTTAACCTCACAATGAACGTATAGGTCTGACAAATTTCGAAAGTGGTATGATTCTACAGATCAAAAGTTACTTCAAAGGAGTTATTATCTCCTAAAGTCAAACTTTTTTCCTTTTAGGAGATAACAAAAAGTTTAACTGTAGGAGATAATAAAAAGTGTTGTACTACCAAAAAGACACAATTTCTTTTGCATATATAAATTCATTTTAAAGGTTATAGATTAAATTCTTTTTTTGTGTTAAGAAATGGACATTTTATTATAAAAGAATAGAGTTGTCATGTGATTTTATTTAATGTAAAGAGTAATTAACAATATTAGATAAATAAAGAGTAATTAACAATAACAACAATAATTAGTGATAGCAATTAGTGGTAATACTAACAAACGTTTTTTTGAAAATATTTTATGCAGTTAAAAAAGTAAAGTTAATTTTAGTCACCAAAACATTGTTTAATAATGCATATTTTTTAGTGGTGAAAGTTCTCCTCAAAATCTTTTTAAAGTAAGTTTGTAAATTTTGTTTTATGTATTTGTGTAGCTATACTGCATATTCTATTAAAGCTTTGTTAAAATGGTTTTATTTTTTTTTTATTTTTTTTTTTATTTATTACAAGCATTATTGATATAGAAAGAAGCTGAAGAGGAAGATTATCACAAAAGCACAAAAATTATTTATCCTCGTAATTATGAAACTCCACCTGAATTAGATCCACAAAAAGTAAGCTGAGTATATAATAAATTTTTAAATTTATTTTTATATCTTATAAAAAAAAATGTTACATGAATCAAAGATGAAAACTATGTATTCCTCCTACAAGTTGGTCCATGTAGTTCTCCTACAAGTTGGTCCTCTACATGTTGGTTTAGGTTGACTTCTCACAAGATGGACAGTTCTTTGTAATATATTTTTTTAACTATGATATTTATCATTATCCTTATGTTCTTGTTTTGACATTGCAAAAAACTTTGAAATTTTTTAATCTTATTTCTAAAGCTATGTCTCTATAGAAGTTTTTTTTTACTATTTCATACCAAGTTTTTTAGAAAAGTTGTTTTTGTTATTTTAACATTTTAAAAAGATTATAATTATTTTTCTTCTTTTGACAAAAAAGTTCTTTTAGCTTTAAACTCATAAGAATAGCTTAAAATGTTTTTTAAATAGGGAATTTTAACTTAAATGATACTGTTTCACCTAGAGTTCTCCACCTGGAATCCTCCATTGTTCTTGGTGTTATATTATATATAAAATGTTAACACAGAAATTGGTTATAAAATCAATAAATAGTTATACATTAGGTTTTACTATTTTTTAATGTATTTTTTTGTATATTTTTAGTGTATTCACTGCATTGCTGCTGCAGCAGCTAGAAGAGCTCTTAGTGAAAGTAAAGGTTTTACAACTTCTATTTCTTCATCTCAGTTATATGCTTCATCTTCAAAGATGTTCCCGGTGACTATAATATTTTGCTAATAATTTACGGATCAGTTTTTAAAATATATTAATTGATAATGTTTGAACTATCCACTACTTATATGTTTGAATAAATGTATTTGAATTGAATTACTTACAGCATTGAAATTATTTGATTTGAATTGTCTCCATTTGATTTTTTGTGATTGTTTTAGAATGGAACACCATCAATGGTTGAACGTCAAATAAGGCCCAGACCTCCCTATTTAAATTACAGCTCAGAGGATTTGAAATTAACAAATACTCGGCATAGTACTGCCTACTCTGGCATAGTTTCAACGCAATCATTTATGGTCATTAACCCAAAGTAAATTGCTATTAATCATAACTGAGTTTTTATATGAAGAATAGGATTTATTCAAAGGGATATTTTGTTTGAAAAATGATTGGAAAAGTTATGGCTTTCTATAGTAAATCTTTTTGTTTGAAAAATGATTGGAAAAATTTCTATAGTAAATCTTTAGTTACAAAATTCTTAGCTAATATCTTTTTAGAATTTTGTGGAAACTGTTTTTCAAACAACTGCATTATCATCTTTAGCCCTGTTTATGTTATCAAACCTCCAGTGATTAGTTCGACGATACCTGTTTACTCTGCCACAGTTAAAGGAAATTGGTAAAAAAAATTATTTGAAATGTTCTTTAGTGGATTGGTTGGATTGGATTGGTGGATTGGTTAGTTTAAAATAATAATGAGCTTTGTTTTTTTTTTTCTAGTTCATCTGTTTCTCAGAGACTTTCAAAACGTCGTACTCATCAATGCTCTTTTAATGGCTGTGATAAGATTTACACTAAATCTTCTCACTTGAAAGCACATATGCGTACGCACACGGGTGAAAAGCCTTATAAATGTTCGTGGGAGGGTTGTACATGGAAATTCGCACGATCAGATGAGCTGACGAGGCATTATCGGAAACATACTGGAATGCGACCCTTTAAATGTACAAGATGTGAGCGTTCATTTTCACGTTCTGATCATCTTTCCCTTCATATGAAAAGACACGCTGGTGAAGCAAAGTCTTCGCCTTTTGATTTATCAAACCAAAATTAATTTTTTTTAAATAATTAAATAGAATTTTGGTTTTTTCATCACTATATATTCAAGATATTGTAATGTATTTGGTTTTCAATTACAGTTTCTGTAATTTTATATATATAATTATCTATGATTATATATATATATATATATATATATATATATATATATATATATATATATATATATATATATATATATATATTCAAATAATTTTATTATACCTAACTACTTTTTTGTTTGTTTTTTACTTAAAAATTTATTAATTTTTGTACGCCGTCTACATTAATAGTAGCTTTATAATTAACTTTTGAGAAACTTTTTGTTGCATAAAATGCAGGCCTATAAAAACAAAAAAAACCAAGTGCTTCCTCAAACAAAAAAAATTTGTTTCTAGGGGCCTGTAATGCAAAACTATTCTTATTGTTAATTTGTAAAAGTATTTAAAAAATATGTTAATAATTTCAAAAAAAATTTATTTATTTTACAAAGGATAAAAATTATCCTAATTGCACAATTTCTTTATTACGAAAAAAATGTACCCTTAACTCTTTAATTACTGTAAATACAAACTTATTCCTTATTTTATAAATTTTATTTTGTTTATCTAAATGTTATAATAATTCTTGTTTTTTAGTTCAGTATTTTTTTTATACTTTTCCCTAATAGAAACTTTAATTCAAAGTTGAGTTGCATCTTCTTTCGTTCGTAGTTTTGTGTTGTAAATATTAAAAATAATAAACCTAACACCTACTTTCAAATATATTAAATAATAAACCAAACACAGTGTATTATCATCTACCACAGTTGCATGATACACGGTATCGTATAATGATGCATGGTATCGTATAATGATGCATGGTATCGTATAATGATTGGTTTTTCTAAATAATAAAAACAAAAAACAAAGCACTTTTTTGATTTCTAATATTTTTTCTCCTTCAAACCTTTATGTCTAGAAAAAATATACCGATTTAGTATAGCTTTGATTTTTTTTCATCGATGCTATCAAGCTGTGAGTTGTTTTAGAATCTCAAAGTCAATCTGTTTTGATCTGTAATTGATCTTTTGCTCAAACCATGGTTGAGTTTTTTTCTTGGCATTCACAAAACCTTTGATTTTTGAGAAAAATAATGAAAAAAAAACTAAGCAATGTAAACTCAATATTTTTTGATATAGAACATGCGATAAGTTAAAGTTTATATAATTGCTATACTTGGAAACTTGGGTTTTAAAATATCATCTGATTTTAAGTCATAAATATGCATTAGTATCTATAGCAAAATAAAGCTTAGTATGCTTTAGAGTAATTTAGTGATGCAAGCTTGAATAAAAATCTATGCATCTTAATTGTGCAAAACAAATTTTAACTAGTTTGAAATCCTTCAATAAGAAATTTTAAAAATTTTACTTTAATAATGAATGCCCAATTGAGTCGTTTCTTTGATTTCTAGTTTCTCAGTTAAGTTGTCAGTTCAATCTAAGTTAACTAACAAGATGTTGTTCAAGTCGCGTTGTACAACGCAACTACTTACGTTGTGTACAACGCAACTACTTACGTTGTACACAACTACTTACGTTGTACGCAACTACTTACGTTGTACAACGCAAAAAGTTACGTTGTACAATGCAACAACTTCAGTTACTGTGCTGTAAATATTTTTTTGCGTTTTCAAATATTATTCAACGTATGCGCTTTCAAATATTTTTATGCGTTGTTTCTTAAGCATCAAAACATCTAAAAATCTAGCGACTCTTTAGCATTTTAAAGTAGGCTAAAAACATATTTTATTATATAAATAATATAAAGTTTTATTAAAATAAATTCTGATTTGTTGTTTTTTATTTCGTCTTAAATCATTTAATAGGATGAAATTGTTTATACTATTTTTAATAGAATCGTTTAATAGCTGTTAAAGAATAATACGTTTTAAAATGGCGTCAAAGCATATGTCTACAGACAAAAGTAAATAGTCATAATTTTTTCGCGATAAGAAAAATACAAATTAAAAAAAAAAAAAGACAATGCAAAAAGTCATAAGTTTTTTTTTTTTTAAATTATAATATATATATATATATATATATATATATATATATATATATATATATATATATATATATATATATATATATATATATATAATTTAAAAAAAAAAAAATGACTTTTTACATTATGTCTTTTTTTTTTTAATTTGTATTTTTCTTATCGTGAAAAAATTATGACTATTTACTTTTGTCTGTATATATATATTATATATATATATATATATATATATATATATATATATATATATATATATATATATATATATATATATATATATATAACCAAAATATAATAAAAAAAGTATACAGAAGCCAGTTATATTCAAGCTTTCTAAAATTAAAAGCGATATAAACTTCGAAGTCTCAATCAATGTTGTCTTTAGTCTTAGTAATAGAAATGTTATAAAACAGTTAATTTCTGAGAATTGCATCTGCTAATTTTTGATGCAACTTTAAGAACCAAAAATCTTTGGCTCTTCCGAAGTTCATTATCTACTCTTGATCTTTTACGTAATCTTTTTTAAACAATCTCGGCTTTTTTAAGCTGCAAAGTTAATTTTAATTTTCTATGTTAAAGTTCTATGGAATTCTACTTACAAATGCGTTTAGGAAATCGAAAATTTTATCGCTTCAAATAAGAATATATAAATAATTTATATCACTTTGAGTTGGTTTTTATTTCGTATAGAACACTAAAATTCGTTCCTTATTCTTACTTTACAATGGTTCCCGCAATGTATACCTTTTTTTATAGCTTCACATTCAAAAATGAAAACGTAAATTCTTAAAATCATTTGTATAATTTGCTCATTTGTTGATAATTCGTATGGTGAAATATATTTTCGAAAATATTTCAACTAAAATGCAGTCTCAAAATTCTAATGACAATGAAAATATCAGGGTAAGAATATATGTATGTATGTATGTATGTATGTATGTATGTATGTATGTATGTATGTATGTATGTATGTATGTATGTATGTATGTATGTATGTATGTATGTATGTATGTATGTATGTATGTATGTATGTATGTATGTATGAATGTATGTATGCACACTTGAAATTTTAACGTTTAGCAGCACTATCTATTTTTTGTTGTTGTTTTATAATATTAAATTCCTAAATACGTTAAGTTTATATTTGTTTTATGAAATAATTATTGGAGCCAGTTTAAAAAAATGACATTAATTCTTTAACAAAATTTTTAAATAAAACTCTTTTTTTTGTGTGAAAATTATGTGTTCAAAAGATTTACTTTTAAAATATATAAAAAACTTTTTCGCAATATTTTTATTAACCGATAAAACTATAGATATTATAAACTATTAGCTAATGTTATTATAGTTAATAATTATTTTAAATGCTATAAAATATGGTTTTATTTGTATTATTATTCTCTGACAATTTTCTGTTTACATTTTATTTACTGTTTTTTATATTCAAAATGTTTTTTATCTTTTAAAACACTGATAACAAGTTGCATTAAAAACAGTGCATCTGCCAGATCGATAAAGCAAATTATTATGTAATGGTAATATCCAGGATGTCTTTTGATTATATCGGTGTTTGATTAAAACAATAATGAACATTTATTGCACTTGCTTTGGTCCTCAAGGTCCTCAAAACTAGTTTGTTGTTGCTGCTTTATATCTATCTTTTTGTTGTTATTATTATTATTGCTACTATTGTTATTTTTTAATTATTACTTATTTTATTGTTATTATTATTGTTGCTATCTGCTTTGATTATAATCAAGCCGATGGCACAAAGGCGTGACAATGTTTAATACATTTGATATTAATGGTTGCATAAATCCAATGCTAAACAAAGTATTTCTAATGGGTTTTAATGCTTTTTTGTATGCCATTATATGTATAAAACTTATTTTTATTTATCTAAACAACTATTACACCTCCATCTGCTTGTTTTCAGAAAAAAGCGCCATGATTACATAAGGAATATTTTGTTAAACTTCTACTTAAATTGTTTTTTAAAATTTATTTTAAGTCACGCAAAGCAGCTGACATTAAAAAACATATAGTTTTGTCAATAACAAAGATTCCCTGTAATTATTTTGACGTCTACATAAGTTGTTTTCGCAGGCTTCAATTTAAGCCACGACATAAAACCTGTATATGGATAAACATTAGTGAACTAACAAAACTATTTTAAATAAAAATTTTATGATTTTAGTCTGCCATTAAAATCAGAAAATATATAAATGGTCACCACCAATCGGCCATATCTCCATATTTTTGTAAATGTATAACAAAGCTAAGATTTATCATTCGCAACCTATATAGTGGCTTGTTAAGCAAATGCTAATATTTTAGTTTGAGAGGCGAAGTGATTAGAAGTCTATTTTTTTATATTACAAGTTTCGTAATTTATTTTTTTATTTATTTATTGTTATATTATTTGCCGTATAATATTATTTACACTAAGATTTATAATATTATACGGACAGGACTTCGGGAAATTCGTAATGACCTTATCACGAAGCCCTTAACAAAACTCTATTTTCTTCTACGGTAGGCTCTCTTGTCAAACCCTTATTCCGACGCTGTCCTTAAGGTCCGAAAATGTAAAAAAACGACTTGTTTATTTAAAAGAGAACCTACCCACCCCAAACCCACAGTCGTTGTTTACACACTCCGCTGCATGTTCTCTTTAAAAATTAGTTGGTGAATGTGCGCACCGCTGCGCAAATCCCTATATACCCCGTTTAGCCCTTTTCCTAGAAACACGATTTCGCGGACGTAAAGGACACTCAACGTCGGAATAGGGGTTTGACAAGAGTGCGTTCCTTCTTCTACAATAAAAACATCTATATACTATATAAAATAAATATATACCGAGAATATATAATCAATAAATATATCATAAATTTAATACTCTACATACTTTAGAAGTGAAACTCAAAATAAAACATAAATCAATATGCTGTATAGCAACTGAAAACATTTTTTAAAAAATCAAAAGAAATCAAGAATATTTTTCGATGAAAAAAGTTTTTTTTAATAGATTGTTTGAAAAAAGATTAGGTCAATTTAGATGAAAAAACATAATTAGGTCGTACTATTTTATTCCAGAGAAAAGGTCCACGATAAGATATGCAAAATTGAGCTTGTTTATTATTGCAAAAAGGTTTTTCTAAAATGCTGCTATTACGTAGATTATATTTGTTTTAGGGTTTAAATTTATAAATGTTTATAAAAACATCGGGGGACATAAGTTCTTTACATTTGTACATACTAGGTTGGTTGAAAAGTTCGCGGAGCGGAAATGAAAAAACAATTTTATGATTCAAAAAATGACTTTATTCTTCAGTATATTCTCCCTTAAGAGCAATACACTTTTTCCAACGATTCTCCAATTCATGTATCCCATCTCTGAAGTGCGATTCCGGAAGGCCTTCAAAATACCCATTTACGGCTGCAATGACTTCTTGTGATGTGATGAGAAACGCTTTCCACGTAGAAATTTTTTGAGATGTGGAAAGAGGTGGAAGTCGGACGGAGCCAGATCTGGTGAATAGGGTGGATGTTCCAAGCGTTCGTACTTTAATTCGACCAATTTCGCCTTTGCAACATCGCTGATATGAGCAGGTGCGTTGTCCTGGTGATAAATGATTTTTTTATGCAGCAAACCAGGTCTTTTCTCACGAATTTTTTTATCCAACTGGTCCAAAAGATTTTTATAATATTCACCTGTTATCATTTTACCGGTTTAAAGGTAATCTATTAATAAAATTCCTTTCGCATCCCAAAAAACTGATGCCATAACCTTCTTTGACGATTTTGAAGCCTTCACTTGCTTCGGAGCTGAACAACCTGGTTCTGTCCACTCTGCAGTTTGTTGTCGCAGCTTCGGATCATAGTGGTAAACCCAAGTCTCATCCATGGTTACGAATCGACGCACAAAATCTGTTTTATTCTTTTGAAAACGGGCCAAATGTTCTTGAGAAAGTTTTACTCGAGTGCGTTTCTGATCCAGAGTTAGCGAATGCGGCATCCATCTTGCCAACAGCTTTCTCAGACGTAATTCATCGTGCAAGATGTGTAATACCGTTCATCTGAGATGCCCACAGCCTCAGCAATTTCACGTTTGGTCAATCGTCTATCATCCATAACCATGTCATGCACAGCATTAATCGTTTCTTCAGTAGTAGCACTTTTTGGACGTCCAGAGCGAGGGTCATCTTCAAGGCTTGAACGCCCACGTTGAAACTCCGCAGCCCATTTGCATACTGTTGTTTTTGAAGGAGCATCATCACCCAACACATTTACCATTTCATTATGAATTTCCATGGGCTTTAAACCTTTTTTCACAAAGAATTTTATTACAGCACGATGTTCAATATTTTCCATTTTAAAAAATACTATGACACGTCTAATTTCAATAGCTTGTAAACAAAGACTGAAATGACATATCGACTTGAAATTTTTTATGCGTTCATACGAAGAATGAATACGTTTAATACAGTTATAAATTTGTTTCTACTACTGCAACATAGGTGCCGCTCCGCGAACTTTTCAACCAACCTAGTAAAACACAAAACATTAAATACATTTAGTTGATAAACATTTAAGGCATCCATTTCTTTAAAAAGTGGTTTAGAGTTCGAAAAACAATTTTTAAAATTTATTATGTGAGCTGCGTGTTTCTGATGCCGATAAAGAGATTTAAGTTTAGTTTTATGTGTACTTCCCAATTAATATTTGCATGATTGGTATGACAGTAAATAAAAGTATAATATAATTATGTTGATTGTTTAAAATACCTCTAGATTTGTATAGAATTCCAATGTTTTTTGCTACTTTATTAGAAATACTGTTGATGTTTGATTTCCAAGACAGATTTTCTTCAATAAAAACTCCTAAATATTTTGTCACTTTTTCTCCGATATTTACAACCGATATTTACAGGCAGTATCGGTCTTTTATAGTTTGGATAGAAAAGTATCCATTTTGTTTTTTCAATATTTAAAGATATTTATATATTTTTTGAACTAAAATGAAATTTTTTTAAGTTCTCTGTTCATATTATTAAAAAGTATGCTTATATTTTCATGTGACTGAAACAAGTTTATTTTGTCTGCAAAAATTATAGTCTTTAAATTGGATGCTCTGTTAAGATCATTTATATATATAATGAAAAGAAGTGGTCCAAGTATGGATCTCTGTGGGATACCATATGTTATGTTCATTAATGTTTGAGGTTGGGAATCTTTGTTAAAAGCAAATTGCTTTCGGTTGGAGAGACTTTTGAACAAACTTAGAGTTTTACATGCTATGCAATAACATTCAAGTTTTTTAAGCAAAATGTTTATAATTATATATATATATATATATATATATATATATATATATATATATATATATATATATATATATATATATACACACACATATATATATACACACATATATATATAAATATATACATATATATATATATATATATATATATATATATATATATATATATATATATATATATATATATATATATATATATATATATATAAATATATATATATATATATACATATATATAAATATATATATACATTCAAGTTTTTTAAGCAAAATGTTTATAATTATATATATATATATATATATATATATATATATATATATATATATATATATATATATATATATATATATATATATATATATATATATGTATATATATATATATATATATATATATATATATATATACATATATATATATATATATATATATATATATATATATATATATATATATATATATATAAGAGAGAGAGAGAGAGAGAGAGAGAGAGAGAGAGAGAGCATATACAGTGACGCTCAAAAGCGAGTTGACAGGCGTATATTTTGTGAAAAACTGCTGTATCACGATCAAAAAC